ATACGATCCCCTCTGACTGGTCTAAATCACTGATTATCCCAGTCTTCAAGAAAGGCGAGAAGTCCTCTTGTGATAACCACAGAGGAATCAGCCTGACGAACATAGTGTCTAAGATTCTAGGTTCTATAATTCTGCGACGCCTGACTGGAGCTCGGGAACACCAAGCCCGAGAAAACTAGGCAGGTTTTAGACCCGGCCGCGAGTGTATCGACTAAATATTCACACTGCGCCAGGTCCTGGAACATAGGCACGCATACAGACACCCGACAATAGCTGTATTTCTCGACCTGAAGGCGGCATTTGACTCCGTTGATCGAGAAGTCTTATGGCAATGTCTGTCACTGAAAGGCGTGCTGAGTAAGTACATCACCTTATTGAAAGCTCTCTACTCGAACACTTGTGGGCATGTTAGAGCCTATGGTGAGATGTCAGGTGAGCTGAGCTCATCGAGCGGTGTCCGTCAAGGGTGCCCACTCTCTTCATTCTTATTCAATTTCATCATAGATATTTTTATGGAGGTCTCCCTCTCGTCACTAGGTTACCCAGACGTTGACCTAATCACAGGAGAATTTTCGTTAGATCTAGAATATGCAGATGACATAGTCCTGTTAGGTGAAGACGCTGACAAGATGCAGAGTCTTCTGAACAATTTGAGTGGAAATTTGAGAATGTTTGGAATGCGGTTGTCACCACCCATATGCAAATTGTTGCTCTAAGACTGATCTTCAGCGGTACCACGGCTAACAATAGAGAGTGAAGTGGTTGGGTGTGTGGACCACTTCACTTACCTGGGAAGTAGGATCAGCCCTGGTGGGTCAGTTGCCGATGAAATCTCAGCACGGATACAAAAGGCTCGATTGGCTTTTGCCAATTTACGCCACCTATGGCGCCGCCGTGATATCCGTTTGTCTATTAAGGGTCGCGTATACTGCACAGCAGTCCGGTCTGTTCTCCTGTATGGCTGTGAAACATGGCCATTGAAGGTGGAAGATATAAGAAGGCTTCAGGTGTTTGACCACCGTTGCCTTCGTAGTATAAGCCGTATTCCGTGGTGTCACGACGTGGGTAATGCAGAAGTCAGGTATAGAGTTTTAGGGAGTGGAGGTATATCAGTTGACAAGGTTATGAACCTTCATCGATTAAGATGGTTGGGATACGTACTACGTATGCCTAGTCATCGATTGCCTCGTCACACAATGTTGGCCGAAGTAGGTTCAGGCTGGAAAGAGGCCCGAGGTGGCCAGACTAAAACATGACACCAATGTATGAAGTCTCTGACTGTTGGTTTGAGCCATGTGGGGCGATGCAGACTAGGTGTTTGGGGTCGGCGGGACAAGAGGAACCAGTGGTTGGAGACTCTAGGTGAAATGACTCAGAACCGATGTCAGCGGCGCAGATGCATACACACATTATCCTCATCTTAACAACGCTATGTCGAATCTCACCATTTTGTCATTCCTCCTTTCTTTATTCTCATACTTTATATTTATTTTGACTGCATTCTCTTATCTTCATCCTTCACCTCACTACTTCTCTACTTGATGTACTGTACTGAGGTGTGGCAACTCGGACCGTTTCGCAGTAATGCCTGGTCCTATGTTGATATTGATGATGGTGCGAAACCAACTTTTTATGTACTTGCTTATATTTTGTCAACAAAATGCCCGTGAGCTCTGAAGCGACCGCCCAAATAAATGAAGTGATTAAAACATTCACTCGTCTTTCCACTCTAGAGTGTATAATCTTACACTTAGCGTATATGAAATGCATTATGAATGCTGTGTGAATTTCCCCCATGAACGCATCCAGAGGGTCTCATATTTTGTTGGGGCATTCTCCAGACAGGTATATTTCATCTGTCTCCTTCTTGTCAGTCAGAAGGTTTTTAAGCAGAAATCCGGTGTTCAGAGTTCGCAGACAGATCAAATCATCTTTATTAGAATATTTATAAAGAGCAATTATTATAGTTTACAACGGATTAAAGTGACAGGCGAACTCGACTACAATAAGGCAGCAACTACTTCAGTATTATATTTTTTATTAGACATTACACAGTGATAGAGAGTATTATTGGATGTAGGACACTCTAAAAACAAATTATTCGTTATGATCACGTGAAGGTGATCATGCAACTTCTGTAATCTGGTTTTTACAGTTCTGTCAACTCATATTCCCGCTTTCTGGTAGTAGTAGAATTTTCCACGTCTTGGGGATAGGTTTCGTGTCATTCCTACTGCATTTGTCAGATGCTGATCCTATGATAACCTGCTTTTTGTTCATTAAATCTATACTCAAATAAACTAATGTAGTCTCTAATCATTTTATCACAGTGTCAAAGGTTTACTCACCAATGAGCACTGCTTCAGAAAATGTTCAACTATGATTAGTGTGCATCCTAGGTGGTATAATATTGCATCAGTAAGTGCACATCCATTTGAACTACATAAGCTGTCATTTAAACGCAGTCATTGGTGTCCATCTGGCAAAGAACGTTTATTTACAATTGATGTGTTTAATTTATGAAAACAGACTCGAACTTCAGTTCAGCTGTAATTTCTTTCAGTAATTCGTATTCATTTTTTAGAATGGTGTTTATGTTGAATAACTTGATTTATCAAGAACACTTTACCATATTTTTGGAATCGTCTTTATCACTGTTGTTGAGTGAATGATTGAAGCTATCACAACCTTAAACTACTTGTTTTTTTCTCGTTCTAGGAGTATGTCACATGCAGCTGTTTGCATAATAACTCGAGAAGGTCCTCAAGGGTTCTTTCGTGGAATTGTGCCTTCTCTTCTTCTGGTAGCCCCACAGACGGGAATGCAGTTTGCTATCTATCATACTTTCAATCAAATTGTGGACCATATGAGAAATTACTTTGACCCCAGTATCACTGGAAGTTCCTCACAATCCCATAGTAGTAATCATTCAATTGGTACGTTTGATTAGATGTGTAGTTTAGTTTCTGTTATAACTTATTCGACACAAGAAGCAAAATCTGCATTTGATCCGTTGGACAGGACTGCACTGTAGACTTGTCTGTTACGTCTTTGAAAGGTTTGTCGTCATCTGCATTGCCCGATATGAAAAGAAGTGAGGCTATGCAACTAAGGCTACCTGATTTCTACATTCCCTCTTTAACTTTTACCTCGATGAGATTCTGGTAACAGCTCTGAAGGTGCGTGATGATGTAAGTCTGGTATCAGAAAGGAAAGTTTCCGGCCTTGTGCATTTGTATGATTCTGTCTTGCTGTTGAATATCCTACGGGCTAGTGAATTCGCATTTGATCAGTCAGCAGTGTCTGTAAATATGACATTCGTTTTGCTCCATTAGAGTAAAAGCTGATTTTAAATGTTGGTGAAAGACTGGTGAATCGCTAGAAGTAGTCGAAAAGTTAGTGCCTCTGAGTGGTCTAGGGAGTGTTGATGTAGATATGATGAATGCGATTTGCAACCACATCAAAAATCAAAGTGATGTGAGCCAATCTTGACCATATCAGGCACCAACATGATGTTGGTTTGACTGTAAAATACCGAGTTTACAGCGTTTTGATGTTTCCGTTTTGTCCATAGGATTGCTTTCATCGTGTGAAAACGCGACATAAGTAGTTCTGAGAGCAGACAGGGTATGATTGAGCTTATGATTTGGGGATTTCAGCTTTATGATCGTCTTTTGTTGCTTTGACATGTGTTACGAACTTCATCACATCGCCTCCCAAATCTCTCACTAATTGCTAATCCTGGGACTATTTGGAAGAAGCAAAGATGATCAGTACATGTTGTGGTTTCGTGAGATGAACTTCAGTAGATGGCTGTACTTGCACCCCATTGGGTCGTAGTATAACCGGTTAACGTGCTAGATGGGAGGGAGTATGTTTTAACGTAATTCCACTGCTAGCCGCTAACCGGTAATCACTCAGTTAATATATAAGATCATATCAAGATAAAAATGACCCTTATGCCAACAGAGACTTATCAATTCGGTCAATTAGTTTATTCAGCTGAAAATTTTAAGCATCAGTTATTAATTCGGTATACATTCTTCCTGGCCCATTCATTTGGTGTTGTTGCCATTATTATTATTGTTAATAATTATTAACACCTGTGTTACCACTACTAGTCATATTTTTTACGATTACTAAAGAGTTTGTTATCTATTTAGGAGGGTGATTGGTGATGAGTAAGGTGTCGTTGATGTATCTGATATGTTGCCTTACTGGTGAGTTTTTTCGCCCTGTTACTTCAACATTTCACCAAGCCAACTTTAACTGACATAGTGTGAAGTGATTTGAAGTGTGAGTAACGATTTGATTGTGGAGGTTTTCTATAGACACTGGCGTCTAAACTCTCATTTTGTTTTCGTTTTTCAATTTAGAGGTTTGTGGGGATTTATTGATTGCATTATCGTTTTATCCTGCGATCCAACATTGCTAACTCGTAGGTAAATTGGATTGGATTGCGTTGACTACTGAATTGATATGTGTAGAGAAAGTGTCTATGTACTCAGATTTCATTGCTGTAAACATGTAACCTATACATGGAAACCATATTTTTGAAGCCAGACGCAATGTTTCGACGGCTACCCGTTCCCAGCTATCCATAAATATGTCTGGCACGATAGAGAATATTAGTCATCTCATGACGACTTCTATTGCTTCTATATTTTATTCTGATTGTGGAACTTCGGCATAGCTGCACTCCTAACATGATCTCCTCTTTTGGCACCATAGTTCGTAGTGTCAGCTCATGGTCGTTATTGAGCTTATTTGTGAGTGCTTTCAGAGCCATGGGAGATCGGTATGTTATTATGTAAACTAGTTAAGTCAAAACTAACCATTTCTTCATTTCCATCTTAATGTATGTCATTTAATCTATGCTTCAGGTCATAATAGTTAATTGGTATAGATTTAGAATGGTTTCTAATTGGACCTAGTCAGATGTCCAAATGTTTAGAAAACTCACAGGTAGGAGTGCTTCTAAATTTTACTCTTCGTCTAGTAGGATAACGTGGCTCGTAAATTTTATGAGTACCATAAATCGTACTGAGATCATTAGTTTCATCTCATTCCTAAAATTGAAATTGCATTAGGGTCATTAGATAAAGCCAGTCGCAGATGTAGTGCGAGCACAATGTGTACTGAAACTTAAACTCTCGCTGTTTGAATCTCGAACTCCTAATGGGAGTGTTATATTTATGTACTGCCTGCTACAATAATCACACCGCGTTTGGTTTTCAGTGGGAAGTTCGATCTTTTCGGTATTATTATTGTTCTTCTTTTCTTGCTACTATTGATTTAGTAATTGTTTTGGCGTCGTTACTTTTTGTGTAAGGTGCTATCCAAAGTATGGTTGGTGGGGGACTTGCAGGAGTAGGTTCCAAGTGCATAATTTATCCGTTGGACATGGTCAAAAAACGTATGCAAGTGCGGGTAAGAAATTGTTTGAATTATCATTACTTTTGGATATATGCAAATGCTGTCTTGACTTTATGGTTCATTATCTTAGTCCTTCAGATGTCATCAATCACTGAGTTTTATGTGGTGAATAAATTCATGGCCAGTCTCGCGACTCAAATTAATCCGATTTATTTATTTTTTAATGTACACTGGGGTGTAAGTCACATTTACTGGAGCCAATGTCACTATTCAACTGCACCTACTGAGATTTAGATGAGGCATAAAAATAGTGTAACTAACAACTAACTTGTGCACCAGATATCACCGACTCCGAAACTGTAAAAAGAAAACACAGAGAAGGAAGACCGGTCTGGGCAGCAGAGTTTACTGTGTAAAGAGCTTAAGTTAAGAATAACCTGAGACACGAGTGGTTTATATATATATATATATATATATATATATATATACATATATATATATATATATATATACATATATATATATATATATATATATATATATATATATATGACGTTCAGAATTGGGAAAATAACATAATTAATATATTAAAATATTAAATATATTAAAAAATATTAATATATTAAAAATATTTGTTAGGGCATCAATCGTTCAGCGTACCAACAAAGGCAATATTGTGACCATCTTAGGCCACTTGAAATGAACACCATCAGCGACCAGATAAAGTGTTCTTTGCAATGGATGTGCAAAATCGATACGAATTCTAGCTTAAGGGTGGTCTGGCGATGAACGACGTTATAGTGAAAGGTACAGAGGATTCTTAGCTTCCTTCTGACATGATGCACAGTGACTGGCAAACTCAGCCATATCAGAATCTATATTGGACCAGCAAAGATAGCTTCTGGTAGTGGTGGTAGTTTTCATATGTTCTATTCCTGGCTATTCACGTGAAACAGTGTTATGACTTGTAGGCGAAGAGACTTCATGATCACTATGCGTCCTCCGAACATGAGGTGATCGCGGGCAACACAAAGGCATTCTGTTCTGCAAACTGGTTGTTTCACGTCACTAGTGAAAAGTGTTTGCAGCCATTTCGTCTGAACATATAATGGATGACTTGCTGTATCGATTTGATCTTGATGAGATTCTTTTCCGTTTTGAGCCGTCACGATAGAAAGCGACCGGACTGCACAAGCTAATTAAGGAACTGCATAGCCTTCTGTAGATACCAATGCGGTAATCGTGTCTCCACTGGGTGTAAGATATTCACTTGTAAGTCTTGAAGTTATGTTTGCGTGTTCAAAGTCTTCTGTCCGGTGATATTTCATATGGAAATCATAACCCAATAATGTTACCGCCCACTACTGTAGTCTATTGGCGGAATGAACTGGGATACCACTTACTTTTCGACCCGAAGATTGAGAGGAGAGGTTTGTTATCGGTTAACAAGGTTATGGCATTGATATTCAAAAGTTTTACTAAATGAGCGGTTACTTTTGCTTCCATCCCATTAGAAGATATTAGAAAATTGGAAGCAAAAGTAACCGCTCATTTAGTAGAACAAGATTATGTTTTGAGTTTATATGTTGCTCACATCGAACCACGTTGTGCCTCAAATCCATGTTTTAGATCGCGTAGAATCAGCTAATAGTGTGACTAAACCAAGATATGGTACCGATTCTTGAAATCCGTAATTGTTTTTCTGATTTCAGGCTTTCTCTTTGTGGTTTGTTAAACAAACAGGAAACTTTGGCGTGTTGTATCTGAGAATTTATAGATTCGTCTATCCTATTCGTCGTATTTCCGAAAATGTCATTACTATGGTTACTTATCCCCTTAGTGTTTTTTGTCACATGATATAACTCAAATGGGTACCCGTGTTTTATGTCGTATAGTTTCGTTTATTTTGTATGAAATTTCATTTTATTTCCTGTTTATTACTCAGTCTTTTATAACTTCCTGATTTGTTTGTTAATCGAGTTGCATCTACAACTAGATTTTTGGGTGTCAAAGGTCTCTGTCAATATCCTTTGATTTCGACAGGTCAAATGTATCATGGAGGCGAAGGCCATCCTGAAACTGCTCCATAGCCTCAACCTGGACAAGTCCTGCAGTTCGAATGAGCCACATCTCTGTGAATTGTAAGCATTAAGGGGTTATCTTCGCCAGATCGCCAACTCGTATGTTTATTGCGATTGGATCAATAGAAGTCATACAGAAATTGGACAGATACCGTCATCATTCTAGTCTACAGAACTGACCATATAGATTCAATAGTTGACTACCATCGGGTTAGTTTGACTAGTTTAGTTGGTTAGGCTTTTGGAAAAGATAATCCATAATGCCATTCTATTGCATACCGAGGGGAATGGACTTTTAACTTTGGAAGGACATGGGTGAGGATCAGCCGCTCATGTCTAGCAAATCTCATCATTGCAAAAGGTTATTGGACTGCCACTAGCGACATGAATGTTTTAACTTATGTAGTATTCATCGATAACTTTTCTAACCTCAGTCTCAAAAAGAAGCCGAGGAACTTTGAGATCAATGACTTAGTTAGGAACTGGGTCAAGTATCTTCTTAATGATGGAAGGTAGAGGGTGATGGTAAATGGAGTTTTGTCTTTGTGGAAACCAATAAAGAATGGATCGCCATAAAATACTATCTGACGTCCACTTCTCTTTCTACTGAGTGGGGAATGACTTTCCCAGGACAACTGGTTCTTTCGTTCTCATGTTTGTGAACTACAGAGACCTTTTCGCTGTGATGAGGATAGACTGATTTTACAGGACGACCTAAATACCCTAGTGGATTAGTCTGGGAGAAATTGATACGACCAGTAGCGTCGAGCTAATAGGTCATGACAGTCCGAATGACTATTTGATTGACGACATGCCGCTGTCCGAAAGGACTGAGTACTTGGAATTATGGATGATAGTCATGAAATCAAAATATCAGCTAACTGTACATTGGCAGCTGCAAACGACTTTCAAATCTGTTGATCCTTACTGAAAGCATCTCAGAACTTTGGTGAAAACATGTTCTTATCTTATAACCTGTAGTTATCCGACGCCTAGCTGTAGCTGGAGAAATTCAGGCTTTTTTCGGAACTGGACTAGTGTGGATTGGTCACGTTTTGACCCTTCGTGAGGTTGTGGAACACTGACATGCATACCGGTAGCTGACACTTATCATATTACTTGAGGTGAGGGTGGCATTTGACTCCGTCCACCCTGAAGTGTTGTGGTAGTGCGTGACTGTGAAGGGAGTTGCGAGCAAGTATGTAACGCCAGCCAAGGTTGTGTACTTGAACTCACGTAGCCGTGTAAGATCGAATGGTGAGTCGTCATCCGGATTGACGATAACTAGTGGTGTTCGTCGTGAATGTCAGTCGCCATCCGAAGGAGTTGATTGCTGATGAAATCTCAGCTGAGATGCAGGACTGTTTGGCATTTGCTAAATTGCGTGATCTGTGACGCTGACTGGTTAGATATTTGATCACCTGTCAAAGGATGAGTATACTACACTGTTGGTCTGAGGCGTGGGGGAGATGTAGAGTGCTCCAGTATGTGTCCCTGAGACGAAAGGAATCAGTGGTTAAGAACTCTTGGTGACATGGCTGAAAATCGGTCAGAATAGTTCAGATGTATTCATTCTTTGACATCTAAAGTTCGAATATTCGCACTGATTGTTATCGTGAGATTGTTTATTCTTTCACACAACTTTTTCTACTTAGATCACTCCTATTCTATGCACTTGTTCTTTGTATACTACTGTGAAGTGTGGCAACTTGAGCCGATGCACCTGTGTGCGAGGTTCTACTTAGATCTTGTCATTTAATCATCTTTTTTATTACTGGATTTGGAGTAAGTGATTTAATCAGCGAGTTCATATTTCAAATAGGAAGTTGACATGTTATGGTGGCTAAGAACGAAGATGGTCTCAGCGCCCTCCAACCTCTCCTTGAAAAGGAAACTGGGTCGATTAGACCTTTTTCCACTTTCTTGTCATGAGATGAGAGATGATCCGAATATAGAGTCTCGCATCTTAAATAATGATTTACATTCTAGCCTACCTCATTCATGGAATCGTGGCTCATTGGTTTAGGCAGTTGACTCTCCAGCAGTGGTTCGTGGGTTCCAACACCATTCCACCTACCGAGGTTTGGGCAGGCAGGTGGTTATATTGGGTCTCACACACAATAGGTGTGGCTCATTATCTACGGAGCAAGCTTGTTGAATGAGTCTCGTCATTAGCTTATCTCATTCATTCAGTTACTGCAGATCTGTTCACCCCAGGGGACGTCATCAAAAGGTTCATAAACCGTGATGAAATGGTCTACGTCTGGAAATGGGTTTTTCCGAACAGAGCTGTGAGCCTCTAAAACTAGTCGCAGGAGAGAGGCGATAGTAAAGCTTGTCTGTGCTCGATTAGAAGATGCCAACGTCAGGTGAGTATTTGGCAGTGGTGTTAGGTAATCATTTGTGGGAAGGTGACAGCAGTTCTCATCCTGCCTGATGTTAAGTTTACTATAGAGACAGCGTTGAAGAAAGTTGGTAACGTACAGCCAAAGTTTAGGAAATGCCATTGGATTTGCGCAAGGTCATGCGAACTTATTGATACGAGATGGCTTACTTCAGCTAACTGTGACCACGATAAAGAGCGACAGCAACTTAACGTAAATTGACCAAGAGTTTTCGCAATGATCTCGAGCATTTGAGGGGTATCATGTCCGGTCAGCCTTGCTGTCACAGCCTTATCTCAAGCTAAATGGAAAAAAATGTAAGAGAGTCAGTCAAATGTGGTAGTGCTTCAGCATACGGTTTATCACAGTAAAGATCAGGTATGGTAGTAAAAGAACTTATCACTCTTTTACCTTTTCTAGTCAATGTTGGCAAATGTTCTTGTATTTGGAGACAGACCTGTATAATCATGTGGCGTACTTAGATGATTCTTTAGGAATAGTTAAATTGATGTATTCGGGATGGTGAGCCAAGCTTTAATGAAGTGTCTCGAGTCGAACGTCTAAGGATACGCAATGACGGTTTGATAAGAACATCTTACTTCTCTGTCTATGCGTTGTCATAGAATATATTTAAACCGTGTATTCTGTGCGTGTATTGTGACAACTGCTAACGTTACTCTTGTATGTTTGTTAATATATCTGGTATATGTAGCAACAGATTATAACGAGAAAGTGGTCTCCATTACTACGTGAGACCTTCGAAAATGCTGCGAAGAAGTTTTGCTGACAATTGAAGTGTTAACTTTCTTTCTCATTTTGGAGTTGCTGTGACACTGGAATGATAAAGTTTCTTTTGTCTATGAAGTTTTCAGTTTTACTGTTCCGTCTGCATTACTGGTCCATTTTTATTTTAGGCTTTCAGTCTTAACTGGAGGTGACGTCCACTTATCACTTTTTGTTTTTTTCCTAGGGTTTCGAAGAAGCACGTATTCAATTCGGCCAGATTCCTAACAGACAGGGCGGCTTGTGGAGATGCTTGGTTGAAATATGGAAAGTAGAAGGTGCTGCAGCAATTTTCAAAGGTTTGAGACCTACCTTACTCAAATCCTTTGTTTCTATATCTTGTAGGTTTACAGTGTACGAACAGATTTGCAGATTTCTTTTTTATCACAATCATTCATAAGCTAATCTCAGTGTTTTGTGAGATTGTATATTATGTTTGTGTAATTCATTCCGAATTTTAAAATCCTTCAGTACTCTTATCTTATCGTTGTAAATTTTCTGAAGGTGTTTGATTTTTATCTATCTTACTCTTCAAGAACTGCATTTCTTCTATCTAACACTTCAATAGAAAGTCTTCGAAGCGCCTTTTCATGCTGACATTCTCTTGACACAAATCTCTGATTTTACCTGTATATTTCCATCTTACCTTCTATCCGTACTACCCGATTGTTAACGTGATTTCATATGATGAACTTCTCCTCTGTTTTATTTCTCTGGGTGTTTGTTCATATTTTATCTACCCTTTCACTGTTTTTTGCTAGTAGTTTAGTGTGCATAATATTTTTCATTTATTCCATTCGCAATCAGATAAAAGTTTTGTTTCAAGGAAATAGAACTGCAGAATAAAGTTAAATATTTAGGAAAGTGACTGTCATAAATGTTATAACAGCTTCAAATGCTTAGTGTTGTTCGTTTGAGTTTAAATTGATACATGCATATCACCTGACAGTCTACAGTATTCTTTGTGTTATGATATTCGGACACCTTTTATTGCTGAGTATGGTATATAGTGGTGGTCCAGTGTGTTTCGCGAAACGAAACGAAACGTGGTAATTGTTCACGTGTTGTGAAATCATTGAGTAATCATTCGTAGTGCTAGGCATAGTGTTTTTCAGGAGTAAATTATAATACTCCGAAGCTTAAGTGTACGTTAAATCATGTTTGTGGATCCTGTTGCATAAACGAGTTCATTGTGTATCGTTACATAAACGCAGACGAGGTATGGTCAAACCAAGACATGAAATCTGTAAGTTCACTGATATGTAATGTGTATTCTAAACATATATGCTCATAGACCGAGCAATCTCTGTCGTGATTCAATAGCCTAGTGGAAAATCTGCTACGACTAGACTCATTGCTATGAGTTGGAGTTTTGATGGTAGCAGCGTCACCCACTGGACGCCACGCACGTGCAGTTGACGACGTCTAAATGGGAGAAAACTCTCATTCCGGATTTCACTACTAGCCACCACAATTCACTAAATTTTTTGAAGTAATGTAATCAGCTTTCCGAATGAAACTGTTTTACTAAATTCATACTATATTACTGAATGACATATATATCTCAATTTCTCGAAGTCGGCCTAAGTGCTACACAGATAACCTCTCATGTATAGACTTACTTCAGTCTGAATACTACACATCACAGCATTGCTGCTACTTATACCTTCGGTCATCTTAAAGCCTAGGAATACCAAGTGAAATATGCCGATTCTCTAGAAAGAACTCTTATCACTGTCTTGGATGTTCTGAGAGTTTGTGATCAGTGTTGAAATTATTTGTCAGTACTCAAACAGTAATTTCCACAAATACGTTTATATCGAAACTTGCTCTGTGTAGAACTTGCCAAACCTTATTTTCTAACCTGAAAGTTTAGATGGAGTAGAAAAATTAGACGCGAAGCTTAATTTGGCTAATTTAAATAATAAATGCTTTTAAAAACACTAGTGAGATTATTGTAGCAGTTTGTAGTGTACTTAATCATCATGGTGCCAGATGCCTACGCTCCTACTAGCAGACAACATTCCTGTCATTACATCAGATCATGAACTTTAAAAATACTTTTGTGATCATGAGATTAAGAAGTGATTCTGCAACAGTGTGTAACAACTGAGCTCCACTTTCACACTTTGATAATTACTTTATGAATTTGCCAAATGTTTCTACTGAAATTACCTAAACGAAAGGATGTAACTCAATATTTTATCGCTACATTCTGTAAGATATGAGGTGTGATAAATACGTTATGGATACATATGAATGATTTAAATATTCTCATTGTGATAATTAGAAGGCAGAGTTTGAAGCGAATACGTATTTTCGGTAATTACATATATATCCCTTGGGTTCTTAGTGGAACATAGGACTTCAGTAGCACGCCTCTGTTGCACTCTCTTCTCTGCAGTCTTTTGAACCTGGCGCCACGACTGCTCACGAGCTTTCATTTATTCCTCACATGATCTCCTTCATGTCACCCTCAGCTAGGACGCCCAACTCGTCATTTCCCCTTTGGATTCCACTCGACGACCAGGCCTGGCGCGTGATGTCCCGGAATGGTTTTCTCATTGCATGCCCAGCCCAATCCATCTCCACTCTCTTCTGCATATCTGTTGGGTGATAGGTTCTTGGTTGGTTCGTTCCCCCAGAGTTCCTTGTTGCTTAGTCTTTCCGGCCATCTAATCTTCAGTAGCGAGCGTAAGTAGTTGTTGATGAATGTCTGTAGTTTATCGGGAATCCCTTTCGTGGCGCGCCAAGTCTCTGAACCATACAGAAGCACTGACTTGACTGGGTTGGTGTTGAAAATCCGTATCTTGTTCCACATGCTGAGTGCAGAAGATCTCCACACTGGTTTCAGGCTAATGAACGCCTGTCTTGCTTTTCCGATTCTGACTTTGACGTCCTCGTCTGTCCCGCCTGTAGTTGAAACAGTGCTTCCTAGATAGGTGAAGGAGGTTACTTCCTTTCAGTTTCTCCCATTGATGGTGACTGGAGTTTGTTGTTGTTGTTGATGGTGGTGGTGCGGTATCTTCATCACCTCTGTCTTCTCTATATTCACCTGAAGTCCCGTCTTAGCTGCCTCTTCTGTCAACTTGTTAGTTTTTGCCTGTAGATCTTCAAGTTTATGTGACATTAGGCATAAGTCATCGGCGAAATCCAAGTCTTCTAGGTTCTTTTCCGTCGTCCAGTGTATCCCCCTCTTCTCGCTGCCTACTGTTTGCTGCATGATCCAGTCCACCACAATAAGGAATATCATGGGGGATAGTAGGCAACCTTGTTTCACTCCTGTCTTCACTTCAAAGGCATTGTGGATTACTTGGCATGTGGCATCTTCATATAGTTGTTGAATGAGGCTGATAAAAGTTTGTGGTATTCCGAAGTGTCGAAGCAGTTTCCAAATTACTTCTCGGTCGACGCTGTCAAAGGCCCTCTCAAAGTCGATGAAGTTGAGGTAGAGAGCTGATTGCCATTCTATGCTCTGTTCTATGATGATGCGTAGTGTAGCGTTGCAATTTGGTCTGCACATGATTTGTACTTCCTGAAGCCTGCCTGTTCCGGTCGCAGTTTTGAATCCAGAGCATCTTTAAGCCTCTCCAGGATGATGCGCCTTAATATTTTACTTGGGGTGGACAGGAGAGTGATTCCGCGTTAGTTCTTGCAAACACTGAGGTCTCCCTTCTTCGGGAGTTTGACAAGGTAACCCTTCTTCCAATCAGTGGCCAGGTACCTTCTCTTCCTTCCACACCTTCTGCAATAGTGGTGTGAGCATGTCTGCTGTTGTCTCTGCATCTGTTTTCAGTGCTTCTGGCGGTATCCCATCTGGTCCTGCTGCTTTCCCACATTTCAGTAGCTTTATGGCGTTCAGGACTTCCATTTTTGTTGGAGGATTTATGTTCACTTGTAGTTCTGTGACTGTGCTGCAGGTGGTATTTCTGGACGAAGTGCAGGTGGTGGTGGTGGTCGATTCAAGAGCTTCTTGAAGTGGTCGGCCCATTATTTCCTCTGTTTCTCTTCTTTCGTAATTAAATTTCCGTCATCTTTTATTCGTTTCATCTGTGTTGATCTCTTCCCAGACAGCAACCTGGTTATTTGATGCATTGTTGTCAGGTCTCTCCTACTATCAGCCTGCAGCCTGTTGTGCTTCACTTGCCAGTGTTTCGTAGAAGTGTCTTTTGTCTTTGCGTGCACTCTTCTTTACTTCTTTGTCCAGTGTTTTATACATTGTGCTCAGTTCCTCTTGTCGTTGAGCATCCTTGCACTGGTTCATCTTCTGTTTCACCATCCTCCTCTCCTCTATCAGCTTCCATGTGCCCATCGAGATCCATTCGTTGTCTTCTTTCTTCCTAATACGGCTGTGCAGGTTTCTCTCCACATCTCTTTCAAAGACTCCCAGTGTTCTTCCACACAGGTTTCTTCAGGGATGTTCCTCGATATCTCCCACTTTGTCTCGATGGCTGCCGTGAAGATTTCCTTTATAGTTTCGTCCTTCGGTTCAGTTTCTGTTCTGGGTGTTCAACTTGAACTGTGGTCTATCACCAACTTCCTTGAAGGCTTCCAACTTGATTTGGAAGTCAGGTTCCTTGCACCAGACAGTGAGTGGTCTGAACCTACATCTGCTCCTCTTCTTGATCTTGTGTTCAGCAGACTGGGTCTCCATTTTCTTGAGATTGAGATGAAGTCGGTCTGATTTTCAGTGTAGTGTGTCCATCTGGTGAAATCCATGTTGCTTTTTGGATATTCTTGTGCTTGAACACAATGCCTCCAATCACCAAATTGTTGAATGCACAGAATTCTGCAAACAATTCTCCATTCTCGTTCATCACCTCACCTAGCGCTTCTCGACCCATGGTTAGTTCTCTTCCTGTGTTATCCCCTCCCAGTTTGGCATTCATGTCACCCATTAGAATTTTGATATCGCCAACTGACGTCTTGTTTAGTGTTGATTGCAGTTGTCTGTAGAATTCCTCCTTTTTCTCTTGCTCTGCATTATTTGTAGGTACATAGTGTAGCATTGTATGATTGTGACCTTCCTTCCTTTTGAGTTGAATCTTGCTGTCATGATCCTGGAGGAGATTGGTTCCCACTGCATGAGAGCCTTCGATGCTCTTGAGGACATCATGATAGCCACTGCATAACTCAGTGTGCTCGTGGTTGTCGTCTGGGTGACCGGAGTAGATTATTGATTCTCCAGTTGACAGTTTGGAGAGTCCACTCCCATTCCATCTGCTTTCGCAAATCCCAAGCACTTCGATGTGATACCTTCTCATCTCCTTTGCAATCTGGGCTGCCTTACTGGGTTCAAACATCGTGCGGACATTCCATGTCCTCACGTTTACTTTCGCTTTCATCGAGAGAGGCGAAGACACTTCGGCCAATTGGCTTCCCGAAGGCTTTCACCAACTGGCGTCATTTTGCCTCTCCGATTCCAGCGGGGAATAAGTTTGTTTTTATTTTTTATATTTTG